AGAATAGAATAGAAGAGTTAATAAATATTATAGAGAGTTTATGAATGTGATATTTGATTAATATGTGTGTTAATATTAATAATAATATGATTATTAATTGAAAATTAATTATTTAATTAAATTGATTTGATTATTTTATTAAAAGATTATAATAGAATAAGCCAACGCTAAAAACCTAAATTCAATCTTAGTAGAGATAAAATATTGATTACAAAGCTTATTTTCCCCTACATGATTCCTTACATCAAGGAGTATCGTCAAATAGCATTAAAAATTCAAGAACAATTTTTGGTTCGAAAGAGAAAAAGAGAGTGAGATTTATTGCAAAAAAACAGGTGAAATCTACTCAGAACTCAAAAAATAAAACATTCAAATCTATGGAAAAATAATTTATTAATAACTTAAGAAGAACAATAATTAGAGACAGAAAAGCATAACTAAATTTAGCCAAGAAATTATCAAAAATGTTCTCAATAGTAATAGTGAAGATATATGTAGAAATGAGGCAGATATTTAGAAGGTAATTGAGAAGATAATAAAAGAACTCGAAACTGGTGTATATATAAAATTATGAGATTTTCCAAAGCCAAAATCTAATAATTATAATGCTTAATATTAGTATTACACTGTAAATAAAACATGCATCCATCTCCATCTCCTGAGATTGAGTAATAATCTAATTCTAATAATTTTACAGAGAGGCTATATTGATCAATTAAGAGAGGTAGAAATTAGTGACATGGGTGCATTACGGATCGAAATAACAAAATATAACATGGATTCAATAGATTAAATGTACCTACTAACTTATTGAGAATCCCCAGCCTACTTTTTCTTTTAGAGTAATGAAAAGAGAAAATGAGGCTTAACAAAATAAGTCAACTTTGAGAAGTAATTTATGTAATAGGAATAGTTGACCTTTGAAAGAAAATCAATTAAACCAATTAACTAATACCAAAAGAATTCTTAATTATAATTTGTTTTGTATTTTTGTTCAGCTCCTAAACTTATAATAATTTGAGTTTCTTTCATCTAACAGTTTGCAACTGTTGGGGTTATAGTATAAAACTAAAAATGACGTAATAGAAATTCAATATTATTGGGGTATTGGCTTAATCTAAAGAGAATGATAAAGTAGTCTTACAAAATTTAATTAAAATATTGAAAAGGGAGAAAATTTAAAACTGAGTAGAATTTCTTTTATTAGATCTAAATGTAAAGTAAATCGAAAAAGGAAAATTATAGGTAAAATACTAATGGCTATTTGGTAAGAAAATAGATTATCAATTTGAAAAAAGTACTATAAAGAGAATAACAGATTTTCTAACAAAAATTAAGGATCATGAATTTAATCAACTGATTTACTCAATAAAAGAATATGAAGAAATTAAAAAGATCTTATCACAAAATATCCTCATAGAATTACTAAAAATTTTAGTTCATCCTACTGCCTTAGATGAGGAAGACAGTTTGTATGGATCAAATTCTCTTCATTTATTAGTTTAAATGAAGGTAGATTTGAGAGAAGAATCTTTTGTAAATATTAGAATTAGAAATACTTCACTAATAGCAGCAAATTTAGCCAGATGTGACTTAAGTGATTCTGATTTGACAATGTCATTAATAGTGGAATGAATTTGAATGGAGCGAAATTATTCATTCTAAATGGAGGAATCTAAAAATAAATGAGTTGAATAAGTTAATGGTCATAGTGATAGTGTCAATAAAGTGTGCTTTCTCCAAATGACACTTGATTAAGCTTCTTGCAGTGATGATAGTTCGATTAGGTTGTGGGATATGAATACAGGAAATATAAAATTTTTAATAAAACGAAGGAGCAAGGTCAAAAATGCACTGTGAAAAATTTGTGGATATATGGAATCTTAAAACAGGAAAATAAATATCAATATTAATAGTGTCTATATTTATTCATCATGTTTCTCTCCGATGATAAGATATTAGCATTTGGTAGTAATGATAGCTCTATCTGTTTATGGGATGTGAGCAAAAAATAATAAAGGTTCTAATTAAAAGGTCATTATGTAAAAGTTTTACTCGGCATGCTTCTCTACCGCTGGCACTACTTTATGATCTGGTGGTAATGATTAATTCTATTCGTTTATCAGATACATAGTCAGGATAATAAAAACACCAAGTTAAATGGTTAAATCAACTAAATTAATTCATGCTTTTTTTCTCTGATAATACAATATTGGCATGTAGTAGTTTTGGAAGTTTTCAGTCTATGGGATTTGAAAACAGGATAATAATAAGCTAATTAGATGGCCAAACTAATCATGTGTAGTCTGTTTCTTTCCTGATGGTATTTCATTAGCATCTGGTAGTGATGATTGCTCTATTAGTTTATAAAGAAAAATTATGGTCATTCAAGTTGGATTTTTTCAGCCAATTTCTCCCCTGATGTATTATATTAGCATCTGGTAGTTGTGATTATTCTATCAGTTAATAAGATGTGAAGACAGGATAATAAAAAGCCAAATTTGATGGTCGTGAAGATGCAGTTTATTCAGTTAATTTCTCTTCTAATGGGAATACGTTAGCATCTGGTGGTTATGATACCTCTATCAGTTTATGGGATGTGAAGACAGGATAATAGAAAGCGAAATTGAATGGTCATGCTAGTTATGTCTCGTCAGTCCTTTTCTCTCCTGTTGGTATTTAATTAGCATCTAGTAGTTATGATCACTTATCCATTTATAGTATGTTAAGGCAGGGTAAATTATGCTCAATTGGTCACATTTTACAAAATAGTAATTATTTTAATTTTTTTAGCTAAAATTCTTCATAAAAATACTTCAATTTTGTCAAAATCTGATATTGGATGCCTATGGAGCTTTAATCATGAAAAGAGAATTTATAAACTATAAAGTATCACGATACATTTTAATATATGCCATGATTATGCCATCAAATTGGGAGTAATAATTTACAATTTTGTTTTCAGCTTTTAGTCAGGAGCATAAACAAATTTTATTTAACAAAATTGTGAATAATCTATATTCTAAAATTTACTAATAATTCTAAATCCATTGAATGATATTTTAATACATTTGAAAAAATACTCATCATAATTGAATAATGTCAAACAAATTGAAAACATAAAACTTTTAATAATGAAATTTATAAAATTTAAAAATTATAAGAAAATGAAAAAGAGAAGAATTTTTTATTGTGAATATTAAATATACAAAATTAAATTTGCTTGTGAAATCAAAATATTGAATAGCTTTATTTGAAATCTTTTTTATGTTTCTCATCAATATTGATTAGAATATTACTTTGGGATTTGCTAACAAATATATTTATAATTAAGTTTCGCTAATTCTTTTAAATTAAACTGAAGCAGAATACATGTTGTTACTTGTTTAGTAGTTTAATGGCCAACAATATGTGGCATTAAAAAAAACTTTTAAATTACTTTTTTAATTGCATAAATCCATAATCATAAATCAGCTTCAATTTAATAATTATTGGGAATAATTCTTTAAGTTATTTGAAAGGAATATAGAAAAAAACTAAATCACGATGACTCTTAGGCTCAAAGAATTAGATATTTGTTTTTTTATAAAAATTGAGTTTAATGCATTTAGAAACAATCGCGAAAACCTTTTAGTATATCAAAGAAATACTCGGGATATCTTCTTTAAATTTATATGTTATAAGATATTCTGACTTTAGTCTTTTCATTATCATTAAAGTTCTATTCTCTCATTTTAAATTGATTAATTTTCTTTTATACATTTTGTTTTTTTCTCAAATTAAAAAATGATTGATTAAATTTCCACTTAATAAAGTTAATAAAGGAAACTAATTTTTATTTTTTACTTAAGTTATTTCAAACTGTATAATATTTAATAAT